CCTGAGGTGCCGGCTCAGGTTCCTGAGATGTCTGGGGTGTCGCCTCAGGTGTCGTTTGTGGGAGGACAGTGAATTCGGAGTAGAAACAAGAACACTGGAGGTTGAGGTTGTAGGTGCATCTGGAACAGCCTGTCTAGAGGCAGAAGAAGCTTGGGATGCTGACTCATTTCCCCTCGCACATAAGCATGTTATGAAAGTCTGTTGTGCCTCAACCTAGATGATCGCTCAGCCATTACTGCTGTAGAAGTACAAAATAAACGTTAACATAAGGACTAATGTTCAAAATGAAGGGAAAAATAGAAACACGCTAAAACTGGAAATGCATTATCGATTTTCTTTAACGTTAAAATGAAAATGAGAAATACATTTTCGGTACGACCTTAAATTTCAGAGCTTCGTCAATGGCGAAACAGAGCCACAAATGACCTCCAAAAAATGGTCATTGATCATAAAAATGAGACTTCCAACACTTTTCTAATGACTCTTAATATTGAAAACACACAAAAAAACTCACAATTTCTAACCTAAATCATAAATTTGAGTAGAAATTACATAAACTCTAAAAAGCTTAAAAAAAACTTACAATTGATGATGCCTCTTGATTGAATGTGATTTGTAACACCCTATTTCTATCCAACGAATTATATAAAATCAGAGTTATTAATTTTCGAACAAACAAATGGACTGCTACACTTTCAACTTGGAAACAACGACATTCAATCACCTATAGTTCAGATACATGACACATAAAATTCGGATGAACCGATAACAACCTGTTTAGTCTTTAAAAATAAAACAACTTTCGTTGCTACGCAGTGGATTCACAAATTCAACTGAAAACACCATAACATCTTGTCCAACTCAAAACGGCTTTAAGACAACACGTATTTAATGAAAACAACTTAAAAATTTAGCAACATAATAAAAACCAACAATAAAGAAAACACGCCTTCATCCCCTGAGTGCTACGTATCAGAGCGACAACACCGACTCGAACTAACGAAGGTAACAGCTATCCTTCTTGATTACCTGCATGTTACCAACAGTGGGCAACATTCAAATAGAAGGAGTGAGATATCGAACCATATAATTGAGTGTATGATAAACAATTTATTAGATCAGATTATATAAAATCACCACTTCACAACTTTCAACCAACATCGATCATCACAAGTCAACAATACAACATGTTAAATATGCAACACAGAATGCGACTCGTTACAACGCACATGCATGTGGTACCAATGAAGCAAAACTCTCAACTTAGAAATTTGTCAATTAATAGAGGCATCAACAAGGCATAAGCCTTCAACTTAATTTTCCAATCTAGGCCAACTTACCGAGCATCAACTCCAACTTGATATGCTATGTATGCGACCCAATATGAATGTCAGGATAGCAACAACAAAATTCTATAGCAACGCAACAACAAACCAACATTGGCCATAAGCCCACAACTTAATATTTTTCACATAAACATCACCTGCTAATTCACATTTCTTAACAAAGAACACAATACAACGAGTCAACCAAAATTTACTACAAATAAACCACGTAATTGTTCGAACTATTACGACTATTTCTGGTTAATTAATTATCTAAATGTTTATTTCTAATTACAAAACTTCTGCAAGTTATTATACTATAATACTATAATACTACAATGCTACTACTTGAAAGTTAAAACACTTGGAAATGATAATGCAGTAATACTGATATCGCAAGCAGACTTAATTTTTGATAGCTAATCAATAAACAAATATCACTCCTACTCTAAGAGGTATTTTGTATTATAATTTAATTCGCAATTTCAACAAATATATAACACACCGACATCTTACACTGGCAACTTTAAACATATCATAATTACACAAAACTAATAAAAATATAATTCTTAATAACCCAAAACAACTCTGACAATATTTTTTGGCAACTCTAACAACTCTAACAGAATTGAAATTAATTTAAATTAATTAATTAATCCAAAATATTTATCTCTAACTTAAACTCCTATAATATTATTATACTTATAATACTATATTATTATTATTATAATAAATATATATATATATATATATATATATATATATATATATATATATATATATATATATATATATATATATATATATATATATATATATATATATATATATATATATATATATATATATTAGTGAAATTGTATCCGTTTTCATTTTAGTTACTACGGTTTTACAAGTTGTTATTCTTATTCTAATACATATCGCTACGGTGTCAAACATCTAAGGCACTAATTGTTTCGCTACAGTATCAAACATATAAGACATTTATATTTTAGCTACAATAGAGGCATATAGATATGTAGCCCTTATCGCTACAGTAAGGGAATATATAGCGATTCTTTTATCTACGCTTTAGTTCCCAGAAAAAGCATATATACATTCTCCTTAATTTAACACTAGTGCATCTTATAAAATCTAATTAATTTATTCCACACAAAAATTAATCATCATATTTAAAGATTATCACCAAAACCTAGCAATTATAAAAATTATAGAAATTTAGAAATTTAATTTTAAACATGTTTCTACCCACCTTACATTATCATACAATCTCAATCCCACACACCATTTATCACGTACCCTATTATAGAGTCAGAACCCCATCCTTACCTTGGATTGAAGGTTGCTCTAACTCTCCGATTGCACTTCTATATATCTCTTCCAAAACTCTTATTTCCTCTTCTTCTGCCAAAACCTATTATTCTTCTCTTACTGATACTTCTACTTCTTATTATTTCTAAAATAACTAATATAATAATATTATCATTTTATTATTCTTATTTTGTTTTATTGGGCTTAAATTCCTACACCTCCCTTTCTACTACTTCTAACATTAAAATAGACTCACATAAGTAATAATAGTATTATTCAATGTTAATCCTACAACTTAATCAATTAATTAACTCAACTAAGAACGACACAACTTAAATCAACATTTCACAACTTCGAAAATTTTAATCGAAAAAATATTCGAAAATATTTAATTAAATAATTAATTAAATATTGGGCGTGACATGATTGAACAGATAAGTTAACTGATGCTTTACAATTCCTATCGAATTTTTTGCGAAGTGGTTGATTTTATGACAATGGGTGTTTTGTGTATTTTGAAAATGCTACTGTAAAAGGAGGGGAAAAGAAAGTCAGAATGCAAACCAGAAATATACGGTTACCACCGTAAATTTAATTTTGGTTCCTATCTTGACTGGAGCTTGGATTCCAAGACCATACAATTGTGCATGTTTGACGTGCAACCGAAAATATATTTACGGTTGCCACCGGAGATGTATTTTTGGTTTGTACTCAACATTTATATACCATATATGTTTGGGCAAAGTATGTATCGAAAATAAATTTCTGATTTTAAAAGATATTTTTAGAATTACGTGTGGTGCGCTAAAAAACTATAGAATGGAAAAAAATTCACTTAAAATTTATAGGATGTTTCATCAAAATAGAATTCCAAGTTCTTGTCAGACGACAATGGACCTTGAAATTTCAATAGATAAAATTTGACAATTTCTCATCTCATTGTTGCTACTTCTCTCAAATCCTGCGAGAAATTTCTAAAATATTCTATATTTTCAGAACTATATCTACAGACGCACCAAATCTTCTTTTTTTTTAAATTTAATTCAGAAATATATTTCTAAATTATTTTATGACGAATTCGAAGATATATCTCCAAAGATACTATTTATTTCAATTACCATTAATTTTTCAACCAAATTAGATAAATAGAAATAAATCTTTTCTAAAAGTAGAATTTTTTTTATTATTCTTATAGATATAAATATCATGTCATGCATCACTTCGTACAAAAATAAGATTTGCTCATTGTCTAGAAATTTGAACAGTCTTTTGAAAAATAAGATTTGATACGTATTTGGAAATTTGAACATAATCTTCTGAAAAATAATAATATTTATATTTATATTTATAGAAGAAAAAAAAATTTTATTTTTATTTTTATTTGTCCAATTTTGTTGAAAAATTGATAACAATTGAAACAAATGGTACATTCAGAGACACATCTTCAAATTCACTTTAAAAATTTCAGAGATGCATCACCGAATTAAATTTTTTTTAAAATGATATTTAATATGTTCAAAAATACATCTCCAAATTTATCCAAGAACATTTTTGTTTTCAAAGGTGTTAACCACTTAACAAGGGTGGGAAGACAAACTGCCTAAAATTTAAACTTTGTTTGACTTCAATTGCATATATAATAAAAAAAATGAATTTGGTTATGTTTGCATTGATAGTTTTTTAGATCTGATTACAATCGTATTAGCGTATGCAGAAAACTATTAAAACTACACTTTTAAGCAAATTGGCCACTAGTGAGGAGGAAAAGAAAACATATGTTAATTTAAAATAAGCTAATAACATCAAAGCCTAGGTTAAATGGCTCATTTTTTAACACAACCAAAATTTTGGGGGTAAATTTACGTTCCTCTAAGAAACTTTAGTTCCAAGAATCATTTGACTATAAATGTAAAATACTCTTCGAACAAGGATTCAAAACATGACACTATATGCTTTGATAGATTAACCTGCTAAATCCAACCATTGTTGGCACACGCATAAACCAAGTGGTTCACTCTCTAAACAACTACCTGCTTGAAATCTAAGCCACTTGTTCCTCACCCTCACCCTTTCCAACCCTAATGCAATACACAAGAAATAAAAGATATTGTGCTACCATACTAACACTTCCACAAGATTTTCGCAGACATTACCAAATGTTCTCATACAAAGTAAAAGCTTTATAATAGGACCGAGTTCTCCTTTCATGGAAAATGAAAATGACATTTGTGAAGAAATTCACCCCACGTTGTCATCTACACTTAACTTGAATGTAGTTTATAAATAAAGAATAAAGTAAATAAAACAAAAACAAGGATATAAGGAGCAGGTGGGATAGAAACTGGGAGAATTTGCTTAATTGCATCATATGCGAGCAACATAGGAATTTGCCTGTGTAACATATCTAACCCACCGATATGGCTCATGTGTCCCAAATTTCTTTACTATCTGCAAATATTTTACCTGCATTTAGGAAATTTATTAAGCACTTTAAAGAGATGGAGAGAAGGTTTTTGGTCAAATCAAAACCATAAGAAAAAAGTAGCAAGTTGACACGCTGATGTACCTGAAGCTGAGACACATTGTACATTGGTATAGTAAATGTCATGCTAACAGGTCCAGATTCTTTCGATATATTACCTGTTAAGAAATAAATTTGCACACATTGGACATATTAATCATTAAATGAAAGAAAAAAAATGAACTATAAGTTTAGTGTATGCACTAACTACAAGAATACATACCATGCGATTCCTGAGAAAAGGTTAGCTTTGCACGTAAAGTATGCTCCGATCCCCCATTAATCTGTTTTGTTGCACTATTAGTGAGTGTCATCTCTAAAAGAAAAATTTTAATGACTTGAATTTAAACACTAGAGAAATGATAAGAAATATTACCTTCTTTAAACTCCATTCTAGCTTCTTATTTGCCTCCCTAAAATCAGTTGTTTGTCCAGTAGCACCAGGCTCCAGTTCAAAACTAACTCTGAAACAATTCCATATGACAACTCACATCAGCGGCTGTAAGACCAGCTATCATTAATACCATTTACACATTTCATATGCAAGGAAAAGTTGTTTTTCCAGTTTCCTGGATCGGGTGTTATTCTTATGATAAATATGCTTGAAGCACGATATGCGAACTCCCAGAAATTAAAGAATATAACTTGATGGTACAATCAAGCGTCATAATTAGAACTGTCTAATTTCTCCGTACTCCCGTAGAGAGGTGTGAAGTAACAAAGTTGGTGAAAACAACAATGTTGGTGTTCGGATCACCAGAAGTACCAGCGGAGGCCATGAGTCAGCATTAGGGAGGGGTGGGAGAGAATGCGTCCAAACAGGAGAGAAGATGGCTTGTTTGCAATGGAACATCTGTGGCCCAAAACTGAAAAATGAAGGCAGGTCTGGAACAAGGACAGGTATGAGAGATGGATGGAGAAAGACCAAGGCAGAAAAACTGCCGGTGAGCAGCCACAGATTAGACTCTGCCGGAGAGAGAGAGAGGAGTCATGCTGGAGTGTGTCGGAAAGCTTTTGGGGATGTGCTTTCGAGGATGGGGTGGGCTGGTCCTGAGGACTCGATCCTTGTGGTGGGATTGGTTGCCAGTATAGGTGCCAGAAACAGTAGTGGCGGGGTGGCAGCAGCAGTTTTGGGCAAAAAAGTTATGAAATTAAGTGCTGGAATGGGTCAAAACAGGAAAGAAGGGGCAAACCAGAGTTGAAACACTGTTTGCGAAATAAATTATCACCGGGGTTGGTCTACCAGGTAAGTATGGTTTAGGTTTATCTCTAAACAGACTCTAGATATCATGCCGAAATAAACCGGAGGTTTCAATTATACAACAGGGCTCTTTTTAGATTAGGCTAAAAAGCAATCGATAGAACGATTACAGAATAGTTTATTCCTATTTACATGATATGATATGTCAATCCTATCTGATCGTACCTGATTAGACTTGGACCGTCACGACTGGCTCGAGCTGAATTTGAGAGAGATGGGGGGTACTTGCAAGACACTCCGATGCTAAAATGAGTGGCGGAATGAGCAGGCAGAAAAAGTATAGGTGCGTAATAGATGAATACCTGACCCTCTAGGAACAGAGGGTATTTATAGCCCCCAGCGCTGGATCAAGGTCCCCTCATTGGGCTGACCAGAAATGGTCCAATAAAGGGACTGCCAGGTTCTACGTGCGTAGTGGGGACCCGCACGTGGTCCCCTTCCTGGTAGTGCTCTGCGAAGAATAAGGAGGAACGAGGACGCGGTCTTTCTGGGGCTTAGAGGACTCGATAACGGTCAGAATGGACAGAGCCTGCCCTACGGGGAGAGTGCTCGAGCAGGACTCGAGTTGGGGTTCTCTTGGTCGGGGACACTACGTGTCGCGGGCAATGGCGGGCGCCGTGGTTACAGTCTGTGGTCGGGCACGTCGGCGGTGATCCGCTGGTGGGCATTCCTCGAGTAGTCTGCTTGGATTGGGCCTTTATCTGCGCTTTGGGTCAGGGTGGGCCCAGTCCAGAACAGGAGCCCCCAAGTCGTTGCTCCTGGGGCAGGAGTTATGACTTGACTTCAGCTCGCCTTTACCACGGAGATCTGATGCCCGGACCAGGATTTTGCTTTTTTGATGCGTGCTCGAGGAGTTTCTCACGGGTTGCGTTCGTAGCGTAATCCTCGTCGACGCGTGCTCGGGGAATTCCTCGCGGGCTGTGTTTGTTGGATACACGAGGCAGTCCTTGGGAACCGTGACGCCACCCTAGCGACAATAGGGTCATCATTGCCTAGGGGAGTAGATGTCGAGGAGGGGAAGTTCGCGGCTCCTCGGGGCGACGTTTCGTATTCCACGTCATCCCTATAAATAGGATCCTTGGGCCCATAATTTGTTTTTCTTCTTCGCGCTTCTCCTTCTTCCTCTGCTTCCGCCGCCGTCGTTTCCTGCAACGCCGTGAGATCACCGCACCATTCTCCGTTGATTTCTCTCATCGCTGCCGTACGTTCCTCTTTTCTTCCAAGTAAGTGTTCATTCCTCCTGTTTTTCTCCGTTGTAGGTAGTTTTGACGTTATTTGGATGTTAGAAACCCACATCTAGGAGTAGTGCCCGGTAGATTCATGATTGTGCCCGGTAAACTCATAGTTTTAGGTACGTGACTCGCAATACTGCCCGTGACCTTCATAGTTTTAGGCACATTATCTATGATACTGCCCGTGACATTCATAGTTTTGGTCGGCGCACCCATGAGCTGTCCGGGGTGTTCATGTTATTCCCTTGTTGTTCCCGACGCCTGGTCGAGCTAGGGTGTCCGTGTTCGGCTTGTCGTGTACTACTTCCCGTCACTATGGCGAGCATGCGGATTTGCTCTCGAATTTCACCGGTTTCTTGTGCTTTGCAGGTAAATGGCCGACGAACCGGAATCTTCGAGGCAAAATGAAGTCGAGGACCAAAGTACCGAAGAGAATGTGACTTTAGTTGATACCATCGATGACCCCTCGTTGGACTGGGTGGGCGCCGAGCCCCGGGGGATTGCCTCGCCGTACTGTCGGCGTAGTCGGCGAGCCTATACTGTCTCGAGCATGGCGGTAGTCAGCCGGGTTTTCAGAAGAATTTTGTTGTGATGAGGTCGTTCATCGATGCGCGAATCTGCTCGGAGTTTACCGAGTATGGGTTTCCTATGTACGAGATCGTGTTCAGGGATCTCGGTCTCAAACTCCCCTTCAGCGATTTTCAACCCCGGTTTTCTGCCATCTGAACTTGGCCCCTTCGCAGCTTCACCCTAATTCGATCGCCTTCCTTCGGGCGTTCGAGCTGACGTGCCGCTTCTTGAGGATCGGGGCGACGATTCCCCTTTTCTTCAGGGTTTTTCACCTGTAGCGTCAGTCTCGAGGAGGCAGGCATAGTTGGGTATCCCTGAAGCAGTCGAAGAGGTTGTACAGGATGTATATGGATTCGGTCCGGGGCTTCAAGGATAAGTGGTACGTTCTGCAGCCGGTCACCCAGACTGCCTTGGATTCCTTGTTCGAATCGGAGACTGCGGTGGTCGACGAGGACGGGGAGCCCCTCATGGATGCCGAGGGTCGTCCGGCAGTAGGGCGCATATCCAAGTTCCCGATACACTAGTGCTCGGGCCATTACGACCATGGTACCGGGTACTATCATACGCCCGCGGGAAGCATGAGCGCCGAAGACGAGGAGGCCTATGCTGTCCTTTGCAAGTATGTCGACAGCTTCTTCCCTGCCGGTGGGTCACGAGGGAGGGGGACGATATTCTTGACGAGGAAGGGTACCCGACATTCGAGGCTCGTCCCATCGACACGAAGGCGCTCGTCGAGTGTCAATCTTACGGGCAGGCCGTAGATCTGCTAGGTTTCTTGCTTCTGCTTTTATTATTGTTTTATCCCATTTTCGTTGTTTTTTTGCTTGCTTGCAATTAACCCGAATTTTGCTCTTCTTTGCAGGCGACATGGCTGAACGACGGGAGAGGCTGTTGAAACTAACTCAGGACAAGAAAGTAAACAAGAGGTTGGTGCGAGCTCCGCAAGCCACGAGGATGGGCCCGCCGGCCAGTTCGGGCGATGCCTCTAGTGGGTCCCCGGGCTCCCCTGACGCTGAACAGCCCACCGAGCTAATTACGAGAAAGAGAAGTCGGGTTGATAACAGGTCGGAGGTTGGCGATGAGTCCGTAGCTGCGAGGGCCTTTGGCTTACCCTCCTGTTTTAAAGAGAAAGATTTCTTCGAGGGGTTTCCTCTGACGGTGAGCAATGACGAGGCCGAGACTATCAGACGGCTTGATAAAGAAAGTCGGAGGAAACACCTGGCCGTCAGCATGGTCGGGATGGTGAAGATGGCCGAGATGGCCGTTGTCCTTGCCGAGGAATGGTCGGACTCCTCGGACCGTGTTAGGGAACTGGAGTCGGAGAAAGCTGCCCTCGCTGCTAATTCTCGTAAGTTAAAGACGGCCCTCGAGCGGTCCGAGAAAATGTTTCGCGAACAAGCCGACCTGCTGCGGGGGAGAAAGAAAACTCCGGGAAGGTTGCTGAGGAGAGGGATTGCCTCCAGCTGGACAAGGAACGCTTGGAGACTGGCAACGAACGTTTGTCTAAGGAAGTCGAGGAGCTAAAAGCTGATATGCTTCCCGTTGACAACGAGTCAGAGGAGACAGCCTCTTTGCGGACTCGTTCGGATTTGGTCGCGCGCATCCACCTCCTGGAGACAGACTATGTCGGTGCCTTAGCAGATGGGTTTGAGGCCGCGGTCAGCCAGCTCGCCATCCTGAATCCGGGCATGAATACCGAGGGCGTCGGGTTCATGTCTCAGATTATTGACGGTCAGATCGTGCCTCCTCCTGAGTCTCCTGCGGTGGATTCCGGTAGTCCTGGGAACGTTTAGTGTGGGGTTTTTGTTCGGGCCTGTGTGCCCGCGTATTGGTATTTGTTTTAGGGCCTGCGTGCCCGTGCTCATTTTTGGGGCCTGCGTGCCCGTGCTTATTTCTTTTGGCCGTTGCGCCATGGCTTGTAACTCAGAACATCGCCGGCCTTTTTGGTCGGTTCATTTAATCTCGTCTTGTGTATAACTTTTCAATGGATGTTCATTTAACTTTAGTTTTGCTCGTATTTAAGCTTTGTATTCGACTGTTTATTTTGTGATGAAATTCGTCTAAGTTATGTCCTCGAGCGGAGATGTCCGTTCGACCCCTTTTGATGGTCCGACGTACTTCGAAATGCGTCGGTTGCGCAGAGTGAAGCCTGCGTGTCGAATATGACCCAGATCGAGGTTGTATGCCCGCGGCGTGAACTGCCCATCGCGAGCTGGGTGTTCTGCCATGTGGGTACGTCAACAGTGGAGCTCGATTGAGGTATCCCTGTCGGGCACTGTCGTTCTGCCTCGTTGGCTGAACGACGTTATGTCGTTTAGGTGTAGATCGGGCCCGTACCTTGGCCTGTCTACGTGATCGAGACATTTTTCTCTGTTGACTAGAGTTGGATGTTTGACGGTGAAAGTCTTTACTGTTTAAGGGCTTCAGCTATAGTACTGCTTTAGCTTAGCAGCGTTACAGGGTCGTGGTAATGGTTCTCCGTTTAGTAGCTCGAGGTAATAAGCCCCGGTGCCTGTGGCGCCGTGAACGCGGTAGGGTCCTTTCCAGTTCGCGGCCAATTTCCCTTCGCGGGAGTCTTTCTGGTTTCTTCGTAATACCAGGTTGCCGATCTGGAACTCGCGCTTGATGACCTTGTCGTCATGACGCAGGGCCACTCGTTGTTTTAGAGCGGTCTCGCGCAGGGCTGCCCCTGATCGAATTTTCTCGACCAGGTCGAGTTCGTCCCT